GGAGCCCCTGGGGCAGCGCAGGGGGCCGGGTCCCCCCGGCAGGGGCCCTGGGGCTTCGGGGGGCTCAGCCTGCCGCGTCTGCCGGGTGGGAAGAGCTCTCGGTCCCTGCGCAGCTGCCGGCGGAAGGCGGAGTCCTGCCCTCCTCCCGCAGAGCTCCGCTCCCGGTCCTGGGCGGGAACTTCAGGCGTTGCCGTCTGGCCTGACTCAGTTCTGCAAGTTGGGCACCCCGGGATTACGGAAACATGAAAATCCTTCGGCCAGCGCTAAAAGTGTAGATGCCTGTATTTTCATCAGCCATGCGCACGGTTTTTTGTATATTTCTGTTTAGATGGAAAGAAAACCAGTCCTATGTTTTGATTCTTTTATTTCATGAATAATGATAGCAATGATATCATTGCACCTGGACGTTTCCCATACCTTTTAAGCGAACAGTTAAAGGGTAAAGTCTTTCCAAAGGGTTTGAGTGCAAATATATTTACAGGGTCTTGGTGGGTTTTTTAGAGAGATTTAGGTTGTGAAGCATTTCTTTTTGTGGACTGTTAGATGGAGCAGTACCCACCGTCTTCTGAGCTGTCACCCTTTGCTCCGCTCTGTACTTGCACAGCTGTTGTGATGCTGTGTTGAACTTGGCCCGGAATTCATCTGACTGAAAAAGTTTCCTCTCGATAAAAAGAGAGTTTTCCACCTGGATGAGTTCTTTGTTGAAGTTCATGTGAAAATGTCTGCAACAAGCAGGGACTTTGGAAGGGCAAAGAAGCAGCTGGGTGGTGTCTGTGCTGACACAGAGAGCTCTTCTGTCAAATGTAGGACTCAGCCTCACTTCTGGAGGTTGTGGCCCCTTTTTCTTTCCCTGAAGCTGTGATTTCCTAACCAAGATGAATGAACATTTTCAGATGTGTGTAATTACCTGTCTGCTCTAATGCTCAGAGCAGTCCTTTGTTTGCTTGAACTGGAAGGTGACTCATAAGATGGGGAAAATGACATTTGGATTGAAACAATGAGAAATTATTACATTTTACCCAAAATCTTTCTAAATGGGAAAAGTATAGAATTAAGACTTTCTAGTTTAGGTAGGAAATGTGGTTTAAGAATCTGTGTTTGTAGCAGTACCCAGGTAATTGGATTACTGGCTCCAGCAGCTCTGTGCTCTTTATTCATTGGCCTTTCTTACCGTGAGCCACTGCAGTAATTACTGATGTGCTCACACACTGTCGTATAATAACAATTGTAACTTGAGAGAAAGCATGTTGGAACAACTGCTCATTTTCACTGCTTTTTTTCTTCTCCTTAGGTAATTCTGGAAGCTATGGACATACTCTTTAGAATAAGAGGAGGGTTGGATCTTGCATTTCAGCTTGCAACTACTGATGGTGTGTCTATAAGACTATAATAGATTTCTAAACATTAAAATAAATAACCTTTTAGTAATTAACTGGTTATGTTTATTTTCTTGGCATTTTGCTGGAAGTGCTTATTCCCAAACCTGTAAAGATTAAGGGCAAAATATGTTATTCTTTACCTCCACTGATTTTCTGATAGTCTTTTTTCATCATTTGTTATGTTTTAATGTTAAGTTTAAACTGCCTAACTGAATGTTACGTCATTTTATTTACGTATTTTTCCTACTTACAAACATGGTATGGGGATCACTTTTCAGTTTGAATCCAGAGTTGACTCTGAAATTCTAAGCAAACAGAGAAAAACTTAATGACAATGAATTTGTTTATACAGGATTACATTAGTAATGTCATTTTGAGATTGTGGTCCAGTCTTTCCAGAGCAGTAGAGAAGACAAGCAAGCTAACTAGTTACTCAACTGAATTTAGTTGGGACTGGGTGCTGTAATTCCATGTGATAACAAGGGACTAGAACATATGGCATTAAGAGCCTCCTCTAGTTCCACATTTTTACAGTAATGTAGCATTCATTTCTGAAAGTCTGCTCAAGGCGGTCACTGGCCATGGAGATTTTTCTTTTGGAGGAAATTCAGTTAAATGTATTGGGTTTTGTTTGATTTTTCTAATACTGTAGATTTTACAAACTTCTAGTGCAAAAGTCAATTAATAGTGGCCAAATCTAAGTTAAAGCATTAAAGAAATACAATTCAGCATAGTCTTTGATGGCTTGTTAGACTTTGTATAACTTGTTTTGTTAGAAGTAATGGTTTATAATCTCCCCAGTGAAGAAAACAATGCTGGTTATGTGCAGAAGTTTCACTGTCACATCTAGTACTGGTTCAGCTTGTAAGGAGTGGGAGAAACCTAAGAAGTCAAAACAAGCTCTGAAAGACAACTGGTAATAAAGATTCAGGCTCACCAGAGTGTGGCTTATGGTTACAGGTTTATGTTGGCCAAATTTTTGTTTGCAACTGGAGTGTAGGCCCTGCTTTACCAAAAATTTAGTATGTCTTTGGTTTGTATTTCTGAATAATGGTAAGAAGTCAGAAACATGGGACTCAGAATTTTTTCCAGGATTTACTCAAAAGACTAAATACAACCATATGCAGAAGTTTTTCTGTACGTAGAAGTTTATTTGCAGCTGCTGGCTTGGTTAAGAGTTATTGATGTGAGTATCAATTGCAGTGCAGGTTTTTCTTACGTAATTCATTCAGCTCTTCCTGTTTGGCAGTATCTGAGAGAAACTGCTTTTGTTCAAGCAGGTGTGAGTTTGATTATCTGAGACAGACCTGCTAAGCGAAATCTTATCTCAGTTTTTGTTTATATAGCCATTTTTCTTGTAACATCACTTAGGTTTTTATTCCAAGTCTAAACAGATTCATTAAAAAAAAAAAAAAAAAATCCCAGTAGCTGTAACAGAAGTGAAGGAATTTTCTGGGCTAATTGTTTCTTTATTGTGTTTCAGAGGCATCAACAAAAAAGGCATTAGGATATGTTTTCAGCGATCTTGCAAATAAACTGTCCTCGGATGTTCTTGTATTAAGAATTTGCCACAGTTCACTCTATGTGTGGCCTAACAATGGTATGAGCACTATTCCAGAGCTGACTGATGATTCTGCTTGCAAGGAG